CAATAATCTCAACGCCCCCTCGACGGAGTACTGGGAGTATGTGAAGGCGTTTAGAGGCCTTGGTGACTATATATTCAATATGATTGTTCCATTTTAAATTATTCTGAATCACCAAACCAAGTACTTTAAGTTACAAGCTCTAATTGTTGATCGTCGATGTTCAAATAAGGGAATTCTATGGGGTCCTTTAAGACTAAGGCTAATGTTTTGTTTTCGAGGAAAGTCCTCAGAGCTACAGATTTTAAGTTTTCATGTCCTTCTCTTCCAGGGGACTTTATGATGTTCTTCGTGAGAAGTACGAGTGGCCTGAGAAGGACGCCATGGAATTCTCAGCGTTTCTGCTCCCAATGCTCGACTTCAACACGGATAAACGGGCTACAGCCGCGCAGTGCCTTGAACATGCTTGGCTGAAAGAATGTTAGGAGAACCCGGAAGAATAGAACAAAGCTCTGTTCGATAAATTTCGTGTTCATTACTCTTTTAAGCCATCTTGTACAGCTTAAAATGACCAAGGGTTATTTGATATCTTCAAGGTGTGTCCTGTTGTTTTACTTTGAAACCCTTTCTTCCAAAGATGGATTAGTTTTTGGTCGAGCACCGTCAACTTAAAAAAACGACGTTTTGTGGTGGAGACGGAACGAAAAGGATTAAACTAAGATTATATTTTCGTTTGGAACTTTACATTTCGCCTCTGATAAAAGATATTGCTATAAAAAATTACTCTTAATACGAAGAAAGAAGACCGCACAACTTTGCGAGAAGACTAGACATTCTTTTGTGCGTTTTGAAACACGTAATGTAAATCTTCAATTGGTGGCTTGCAATCCTTTTCAATCTTGTCTATCCTTAACGTTCGTCAATCTATTCTGAGGTTTTCTTACTTTACAAGAGTTTTTCCATATAATATGATTAATATTTTGCACTTCCCCTTCCTTTAGCGCAGTAGTTTTCACCTTTCCGGCTCCAGATGTCTTACTGCACTGACCTTAAGATTTCATTAGTTTGGCGACGACTAAAAGCATCACCAAGTCCCGCTGATTGACTGCTGTTTGGAGGCGAAATTTTGCGCGAAGGCAGCAGCTAATCAGAGAAACTTTCATTTTAACATGTAGCCAGGAGTGTATAACCTAGGCTTCTGTTGCAGCTCACCAGAATTCGTACTGTAAAGTTTTGACACCTTTGGCGAGCGTTGGACGAATTACATCAGTTCGTTGCAAAAGAGAGGTCTGTGTCAACGGAACAGAGCGTATCTTACCCAAAACCAAAGTAAGCACAGAAGCCAGTCAAAGCAGACGAAAATAGCTAAGTTAATCAGAGCCAACTGTCAAGTAAAACGAGCAAATCACCTCTGAGGCGGGAGAACGATTGAGTTTAAAATTTGCATTTGATTGGCTGAGAGGGTTAGACGAGTCTTATTGACCAATCAGAATGAGGCAAGCTAAAAGAAATTCAGGAATACTTTTGGTGTGGAGTTCAAGATTTTACCATATGGTACGTACAGTAACACGCCACTGTGATTTTGTTCAAGAAATAAGATATTTATTCGCATCGTTGCTTCATTTGGTTGGATTATTCTCGGCACTTTAATTTCTGAAGTTTCCTTGGTATTCGTAAACTCCATTTACGCGGTTTAGGTCTACAAAACTAAAAAAGTTCCCAAAACCTCCCAGAGAGTCTCGGACTTTATCAATTACAGTTTCCTCCAAATTAGCACACACTTTTTTATTCCACTTTAAAAACTACAAATGTTATTACTTAAGAAAGAAACAAATAAATAAATACAAAAGTGAAAGAAATACACCACCCGAATGTAGCAAAAAAACTATTCGAGTCGAGTGGTTGTAGACAATATTAGAGTATATCAAGGAGGTTGGAAATAAAAATTACAAGGAGATTACAATATTGTTAATTTAGAAAAGTGAAATTGATTCAAACAAGTATATGATTTTGAGTAACAACGAAGCAAAGCAAATTCAAGGGACCTGTGAAAAGCTTAATCTATTTCAGACTTAAGTTGCCTTGCATACGGTGGTTGCGCCCGCAGTGCACGCGACAGTCAAAATTTTAGTGTCGTAACGTAAGTGGTACGTTTCATGTGTGCCTAAATGAGTTAGTTTATGCAGCTGCAACAAATGCCACTCGAAATGAACCGATTATGGGTATTTTTTCAAATTATTTTCCCAACTTAAACAAATATAATGGCAATATTAAAACTGTTTTGACCTATTCTAATACTTGGCTGGAGACTGCTGGATTAAGTTCGAAGAAGATCAAGCTACTTAGTATACAATTTCACACCTGAAATCTTACCTTGCGAAAGTTAGCCAGCGAGTTGCCGGACGCGGGTAACCCGGTCTTGGCGCCAAACTCAAAGTTCCATCGCGGCACATAATGGCTATCTCTCGTCATCGCAGTGAAGCTAGCCTGAGGAATTACAACACTCGTCCATCCAGTGAACAGCTAAGGGCTTGTTCAGATATCCTCTCTGGTGCATTGAATGGAAGACCATCGCAGCCAAGTTCCTCTGATGCAGCCACCAGTTCTGAAAATCCTCACGCTGCTGTAAATTCGACCGTTGTTTATTAACAGAACACAGCGCAGCAATTTGTCAAGTTCCAACCACAAGCTTTAAACAGTTGTTTTCAAATTGTCACGTTGATAACGTCCAGGTTTTCGTGGGCCAAAATTCGGTCGGATTTCATTAAACATGTTACTACAGATACTGGTTTTTGTACGCAAAAAATACACTTTTATGCATTCGAATTATTAAGCAAGATTTGCGATTCTTCGTGATAGCTTTTGATGGTTTGACATTTTGACAGCTTTGGTCTTTTTCATGGCTGTTCCGAAAACGAGGAGTGCGGAGTGCGGAGTGCGGAGTCTAAAAAAAACTTTTAAAAAACAATTTAAAAAAACATTAAAAGAATAATTAAATACATAAATAAACTAGAAATAGAAATTTAAGAGATAAAAATGATAATTATTAAAAAATTCACGCCGCCTGAAGTGGACTGTTCATATGGTATATTTAACTCCAAATTTTTATAGTTAGCAGTTTACTCTTACGGAAAAAAAAAATAAAGCATAGTCAAATTTTGACCATGTCTAGAAAATGCGAGAAACTACACCTTCGGTTTTACTGGAAAGCTGTATTGCCTCGAAACAATCTCAAACTTTGCTTTCCAAAAACTGGTCACCTGCGCGTCCTAAAGTTCTCGCAAACCTCAATCTAAAACCTTGAAAGATATTCAGCGCTGAAAAATAGTAAGATAAAAAATGTAGATTGACAAATAGAGGAAAAAGTCAATACACAGGTAAAGTTGCACCTTGAGAAATCAAATTATAAAAATAAAATGTTTTCCCAAAAAAGCCATTTAACTGCACAGGGCTGATTGTCACGTCAATTCAACGTGCAACTACGTGACTGCTGCGGCCATCTATTTTTTTTTTTTTTTTTTTTTTTCTGCTAGAATCTAATATCTTCTCGGGAAGAAAATTACTGCTTTCAAGCTGGAAATAAAGTTAAGTTGGTACACAGTACTTGAAGGCTTTTAACACAAAAAAGAGTAAAAAAAGCACTTTTTGCCGATTTTTTCGCTCACCGTTTTCCGAGCTATGACCCAACTAACCGAACGCCTGGAGGAGGCTAGGGATAAGTTGTCTCCCCTAGCCCAAGCATTCAATCAATTGACATGGAAACGCATGTGACGGGGATAAACGTACTTAATATATTCATTTAAAGTTGGTAATAAGTGGTAAAAGTGAACTGCTAACTCAAGGTAAAAGTGAACTGCTAACTATGAAAATCTTGGGTTAAATATACCATATGAACAGTCCACTTCAGGCGGCATGAATGTTTTAATTATTATTTTTATTTCTTAAATTTCTATTTCTAGTTTATTTATGTATTTAATTATTCTTTTCAATGTTATTTTTTCATCTTTTTTTCAATTTTTTTTCAGACTCCGCACTCCGCGCTTTCGGAAAAGCCCTTTTTCATCCAATGAAATTAGGTTGCCCATTCTAACAAGGATTCTGATTGGCTTATTATAAGCGTGCTCTGCCCGAGAATAGAGCATGCTGACGACACTGTTGTTCGCTTTGAAAATAAAGTTTTTTCGGAAATTGCAAGTAATGTGTGTGGAATTTAACGGATTCTTTATTCTAAAACAAATAGAGAAGCCTTTACTGTGCTCTGTTCTGTAGTAAAGCACTTAGGAAGCGGCTAGAGCACTCTTTCGTGCTCTAGCCGCTTTCTAAGTGCTTTACTACAGAACAGAGCACAGTCAAGGCTTCTTTATTTGTTAAATTTAAGATGATATAGTTATCTATATTTGCCTTCAAGGTGTACTTAATCTTTCAAATGATTCTTGTTTTTGCCTCGAGAAAAATAAAGCCGTGAAGTGTTATCCTTTGTAAGCGCAATATTCCTAGTTCTTCTTCCATTAACTTGAGGTTTACAAATAAAGTAAGAACAGTTCGTAGAGGGACTTAGTAAAAGCTATGGCCAAAAATATGGCTTTCATTGTCAAGCTTCAAGCTATTGAACGATACGGTGAAAACTAATTTACTGAGAAAATATATAACCACTGAGGCATCGTGGAGTTTTCAAATTTGATCAACTCAATTCACTCTTTATACCCTAACATCAGTATACACTTCTTCATACAACTTTCTATATATTTCCTAAGGTTCTAACAAGGAGAATTTTTGTAAAAATCACGATCTTTAGCTTGTGCTCATTTCCTTTATTCTTAGGAGCTTAATATTGTAGCGATCATGCATGAGAAGTCAGACGTTTCTAAGGGTCGAGGGAAGGCGTAAAGATTAGAGTTTTTCTCAGCATATTACTTCCTGGACAATCGAAGACGAGATTGCCGTGAAAAAAAAAAAAGTTATGTAAAAAATTATTCATACAATCAAGTTCCCCAGAGATCAAATAAAATTATTTACAGTTGAAATTAAAAATTTTAGGCCCATTCATGCCATAGCGCCAGGATTTACGAAGATGTTGTGGCCAGACTGAGGTGTTTCATTTTCAGTTTTAATTCATAATCCTTCACACTTTTTATCATAGTTTCTTTAGTTTTTGAGTCCCCTTCAACATGGTATTTGTGCCAGTTGTTGTTCACGTCGTCAGCGTTACCGAAAGAGAACTTTACGGCCTCGTTCTCGTTCCACACGGGACTAAAGTACTCTATCAGCATCTCCTCTACACAGCAAGCATAGTAATGCATGTCCACCAGCATGAATCGAACGATGAAGTCTCTCCGGTTCAAGTCCCTTGCCTTGACTATTTTGCTTTGGTGGCTCAACAGGCGTTTTGAGATACTTATTTTCGACATTCCGACGTAAACTGGTCGGTCTTTAGAGGGTTTGACCCCGCCTTCATATAGGTCAGATTTGCCTATATAATATATGCAGTAGACACCAGGATGATCAGGATACTGGCAAGGTTTATCACCAATTTCGACAAATGGAAAAATATACAAGTTTTCCAGGCGTTTCAGGGAAATCTTTTGCAAAACAGAGCTCTGTTTTTCGTCTTTCGAAGGAATTTCCCCAGTACTATTCCTTTCTTGAACAATAGCATCTTCGACATTAATTTTTTGCTCCACTTCCATTTTAAGCTTAATAAGTAAGAGGCTTGATAGCGATAAACATTTATGAATGCGGCAAAAATCAACTCTCTCCATGGATTCTGTGCAAAGAACATTTTTCACATACTGGTTGGCCGAAATTGCTAGCGAAATTGCTAGCGACTCGGGTAGCGCAGCCTTTTCCCACAAGAAATAAATTTCTTGTATGCGTTCATGTTCTTGGGATTCTTTAGATTTCCAAAGTTCTGGTACCAATGGCAGAGCTGCCTTAAAAGCCGCCTTCTCATGTTCAGTTGAGACTTCTGAAGCTATACCATTCGAAATGACAAAAATTCTCTCAAGGAATTTATGATACCGTTGTTTATCCCAAAGTTGCCGTAGGTCTTCCGGCAGTTCCTCCATAATTTTCTTCCTTAATCCTCGTGAACTTCCTAAAACTTTGTAGGCTATAACCCTACCTGATTTCGCTGAGCCGGAAGATTGCGATAAACCTTGTTTTTCCAGGTGTAACACTACCTACCAAAGAAGTCATCATGAAGTCAGTAAAAACAAAATCAAAAAGTCAGCCCAAGAAATAGCCTGTCTGGTAGCTCGATTGTTGCCGTAATAATGTGTTTTCCGCCGGTTAGACTTGTAAGCCCCATGTTCCTTACCTAGACTAATAATGTTTGTGCGATTTAGACGCTCTCTGGTTTCCGTCATGCAGAGCCCTTCGTCCCACCCAACTCAGTATTAGGCGATATAAATCACGAGCTCGTGGTTCACTGAAAAAATAGAGGGCGAGAAGCGTAGCCATTGACATTGCAAAATGTCATAAGACTTGTTCATGAATATTATTTCTACTCGCGATTAATTCTAATAGAAAATATGCAGATACTGGCGTGTACAACGTTTGCGCGGGAAACCATATTGAAACGGGTTAATGTTTTGATGACAAACTTTCTTCAGGTTGCCACGTAATTTTGCATTCGATTAGTATTTCAATCAACACCCAAATTAGCATATGCTTAAAAAATCATTATGTCGGAAAGACAGTCTCTATCACAACACAAAGTTAGCTAAGAAAGACGCCTCAGAACCTTGATTGAACAAAGCCTTTACTATTTGCTTCTGTTTCTGATGCTTTACGTAATTTTATTTTTCTTAATTTCGTGGAACTATTTGGGTCAAAATTAAAGCGAATAGTATTTTCGGTTTTGGGTAATTAGATAGACAAGAATCCGAGGAGGATATTTTGGATTATGAAAACCTCAATACAGTAAAAAAAAAAAAAAAGAATCGGCAAATTCTCCAATATCGCAAAAAAATCGTTAAATATCGGTACCGCAATGCTTCAATAGCGAGTCGAAACTCGTGTCATACCACTACTTTTTACAACTACTAACATAGAAATAACGATTTAGAATTTGTAAATGAAAGTTCACAAATTGTTTACACGAATAAGCTTTCCGCAATAAAAAGTTTTCGGATTCACAGTTCCAGCTATAAATTTGGGAATTAAAATCTCCGAAGACACGACCAAAGAGGAGAGATCTTATTTCGGATTTGTCTACTTAAGTGTAAACGGCAAAATGATCGAATCCGGTTCTGAAACATACCGTATTATTCACGAGTCCGAAACAATTGCTACTAGTATAAACCAAGTCTCAGTCATGCTATTTTCGATTTCAACCTGTTTCCAAAACTGTCAGAAACTAGAAATTGTTTAGAGTGAAACAATGGAGGACTTGAAGGATAATCTTTGGTACCGCCCAAATGCTACAACAACTACCGAAATACCGCGAGAAAAGCTGCCCACTACCGCAATATCGCCATATACCGCTCAAGTAGTGTCGCTTTTGGATATTCATATAAGTTCGAGTTCTAACGCAGCATTTTATTTCACCATGACATCTGAGTGAGCCCTTGTTTATGGAGTCACAAGTGTTAAATGCAAACCTATATTCTTTTTGTAAACTTTTCTGCTATTTTAGTTCATCGAAAGCATAGGATAGTAGCAATGAGATTTGTGTCTTACCTGACGTTTGTCTTCAGCGACTCCCAGTAGACCGTTAATGACTGAATTATCCGCAGTAAACATTTACTAGCTTTTATTTTCGTTTCTCTGGTTTTAAGGAGAAGCGAAACCCCACCCCTGAATTGTAGGGGGCGTCTCTCTTAAATCTGATTGGTGGTTTTCGAACACTTAGCTTATACAAATACGATTATATTTCCGTTTGCCAGTCTCGGTAGACAGGTTTTTGCGATGTTTCGTGGGGAGATATTTAAAGAGCTGTTTTATTCAAATTTATGATGCTTTGTATGAGGACGACATGTCTGTGTCCCCTGGGGGGACAAAATAGGGTATCGGAAGCGAACAAAAAGACATGTCATATATACAAAGCATGTAGTCGTCTTATGAGGGCTGAGAAACATCTATATGAGTACATATTTTCATAGAAGGACTGCTCAGTTGCGAAATCTTAGCGGATAAGTCACTCTTATTAACTTATGTGACTGCATTCTCGGCCGCCAATTTCATATCGTTTCACGCAAAAGCCTGGAAGTTCAACCTTGCTTTAACACGAGACGAAAATCCCCATAAAAAAGACGAATAAAAAGATGTCTTCGGCTGTTCTTATAACTGACTTAGCTAAAATCTCAAAAGGATTGATAATTTTTTATTTCTTAGGTTTGATGGCGTTACGTGGAAACCAAGAATATCCTGTTGCTTTACCATTTTGCTTTTAGCTTTACCAAGAATGGTACACATTTTAAAACACTATGAAAACTCCCTTTGATTGTCTGTGGTGAATTTCCCTTTAGTGCTTTTTCAGCCCATGTGATTTACTTAATTACTGATAACAAAATTTCCATGGCTATAGAATATCCTGTTGCTTTACAATTTTGCTTTTAGCTTCACTAAAATTCCCTTGTTGATTGTCAGAGGCTATTTCCCTTTAAAAAAACCCGGCTCTTTGGATAATACAAATTTAAGACTTTTTATTTGCTTACCCATTATATGCGCCATTATTATGCGCCAATATACCATAATCTAATATCTGTACTTTGTAACATCCGGTTTCTTCTTACAAAATTAAGTTAAGAAGATCTGTTTGATATCTTGTGGGCATATTTTTAATTAAACAATTATTCCACTCGCGCTTGTTCGATATGAGATGATTATAGCCAACGAGGCGCTACGCGCCTCGTTGGCTATCTATCATCTCATATCCAACGCGCGCTCGTGGAATAATTGTCAAATAGGGCTTTATCAGCCCATGTGATTCTTTAATAATTGATGACAAAATTTCCATGACTATCAGGGATACCCGTTTAAAATGAGAGACTGTCAGCCCCTCCGATTTACTTGAGACTCAGTCAAGAAAAACATACATACCGTGGGTAGGTATTATGTCGATTTATCATTCTATTTCGAGTATTGTCTACCCTTCTAAGATAAGGCAACTCCCTGGCTTGTGTGGTTGTTTGCATGACGTGTGAGACAACTTAGTTCTGAGAGGTTAATAGCACGCTTCTTTGTCATTACAACGTTCACACGTCCGCATTTGTTTGACGGCTGTTTGCACGCGGCTTGCCAAAATTAGGGACCTTAAGCAAACCACGACGGCGACAGCAACGAGTAAGTGACAAAACAAAAGATCTAATCGGCAAAACAATAGCTCAGCTTGTGCGGTTTAAAACTTTGTACATCTCTTAGCCGTCCTATATTAAAAAAAAAACGTGAAATTACCAAAATTTGCGCCGTCTGTGAACGGAAACCGCAACAGTAAATTATTCTAATTTCCATTCCTCATGCTGAAGTTGAGGTGTGGCGCCATACGAGACTGCACTGCAACCGGTTAATGTTTTGATAAGAAGCCTTTTTCAAGTTGGCACGTAGTTTTGTATCAGAATAGTATTTCAATCAACACCCAAATTAGCATATGCTCGATAAATCATTGCGTTGGAACGACAGTCTCTATCACAACTCAAAGTTAGCAAAGAAAGACGCTTCAGAACCTTAATTAAACAAAGCCTTTACTCTTTGCTCCTGTTTCTGATGCTTTACGTACTTTTATTTTTCTTTATTTTGTGGAGCTGTTTGGTCAAAATTAAAGCCAATAGTATTTTCGGTTTTGGGTAATTAAATAGACATGAATCCGAGGGGGACATTCTGGCTTATGAACACCGCACTACAGAAAAAGAAAAAAGTATCGGCATATTCCCCAATGTCACACAAAAAAAAAAAATCGCTAAAATATCGGTACCGCAATACTGCAATAGCGAGTCGAAACTCAATGTCATATCATTACTTTGTTCAAATACTAACACAAAAATAACGATTTAGAATTTGTAAATGAACGTTTACAAATCCTTTACACGGATAAACTTTCCGGAATCAAAAGTTTTCGGATTCGCAGTTCCAGCTATAAATTTAGGATTCAAAATCTCCAGAGACACGACGAAGGAAGAGAGATCTTATTTCGGAATTGTCTACTTAAGTGTAAACGGAAAAATGATCGAATCCGGTTGTGAAACGTACCGTATTATTCACGAATCCGAAACAATTGCTTCTAGTGTAAACCTAGTCTCAGTCACGTTATTTTTTATTTCAACCTGGTTCCGAAGCAGTCGGAAGCTAGAAATTGTTCGGTGTGAAACAATGGAGAACTTGAAGGATAATCTTTGGTACCGCGCGCCTAAATGCTACAAAAACTACCGAAATACCGCGTGAAAAGCTGCCCACTACCGTAATGTCGCCATATACCGCTCAGGTAGTGTCGCTTTCAGACATTCATATAAGTTCGAGTTCTAAACGGTAGCAATTTATTTTACCATGACATCTGAGTGAGCCCTTGTTTATGGAATCACAAGTGATGTGTGCCAACCTATATTCTTTTGGTAAACTTTTCTGTTATTTAGTTCATTGACAGCAATGAGGTTTGTGTCTTACCGCTAATGACTGAGTAATCCGCAGTTTATTTTTCTTTTACTTTTCTTTGAAATTCTGCACGACCAAGGCCTTGTAGACACAGTCCTCCCTTGGTACTCGCCATTGAAACCGAAGCCAGTGTACGAGGCGAACAATGCGCAAGCATTCTGGGACGTTCCTTTATTTGCGGAGCACCAAGAAGTTAGAGCCAACAAAATAGATGCGCGTATTATCGACCATGAATCAAGACTAATCATCACGCTGGAGATGAGCTTCCCATGGATTACAAATAGGGGGAAAAAGAAGGAGGAAAAAACCTCGAAATACGGACCGCTTCGTTGGGAATTAAAGCGGAAGTACCAAGAATATGAAGTGAAACAATATAATATCATAATGGACGCATTAGGGGGATGGTGTCGTGACTTAGAAGCTGAAATGAAGGAGTTGGTCGGAAACAAGAGTAAGGGAGTTNCCCAGCCTAGATTTCTTTTTCTCTTCTAGTTTTTGTGCAAAGACGTTGGAGAAACGTTCTAGAGTGTTGATCAAGCCTTGTATTTGGTAGAATTGTGCTTCCTTGTAAACCTGCCGTAAATAAATACTCTTTAAACCTTTATAGAGCAAACTTTATTTATCACTGTAATTTCCCCTCGCCTTCTGCTTTCAGTTATGGTGAAAAGTAGGGGCCGCTCCTCGTAAGAGGTAGAATTTCGCAAAAATTGGACTTTATAGTGGCTTTAATGATAATGATAGTAATAATAATAATAATAATAATAATAATAATTAAATTTGTAAAGTTGTAACATGAACAATGAACATCGCGTACTATTTAACTCTTTGCCTTCAAAAATTCTGTGGATTATTAGAAACTTAGGAAGTGATCGTCACTGATTAACTCTTTCATAGCCGAAATAAGTAATAGGTTTTTAAAGAATTTATAATGACTGTTTTAGATTTGGATACCCGAAATAGCTTATCTTTTTTATTTCTCGACGGTTTTTTTTTGTTCACTATATATATTTTGATTTCACTATAATTAACCGGCTACGCTCATGCGCCCGGTCATACTATTCTTATTGTATATAGCATACAAAAATTTTAAACTGCTGCATAATAATTATAATTTAGCAACGGACATACACTGGGTGGCTCTTCTTGTCCACTGTTTCCAGTGGACAAGAAGATTTATTTTCCTTTCTCTGGTAATAAGATGCGAAACCCCACCCTTAAATTGTAGATGGCGCTTTTCTTAAATGTGATTGGTGGTTTTCGAACACTAAGCTTATTCAAATACGATTATATTTCCGTTCGCCAGTCTCGGTTGACAGGTGTTTGCAATGTTTCGTGTGGGAGATATTCAAAGAAATGTTTTAATCAAATTTATGATGCTTTGTATGAAGACGACAAGTCTGTGTCCCTTGGGGGACAGAATATGGTATCGGAAGCGAACAAAAAGACATGTCGTAGATACAAAGCGTGTTGTCGTCTTATGAGCGCTCATAAACATCTGTATGAGTACATATTCTCATACAGGGACTGCTTAGCTGCGAAATCTTAGCGGATAAGTCACTCTTATTAACTTACGTGATAGCATTCTCCGCCGCCAATTTCATATCGTTTCACGCAAAAGCCTGGAGGTTCAACCTTGCTTTAACACGAAACGAAACTCCCCGTCAAAAAGATTAATAAAAAGATAAGTCTTCGGCTGTTCTTATAACTGACCTAGCTAAAATCTCAAAAGGATTGCCTTATTTCTTAAGTTTGATGACGTTAGGTGGAAACCAAGAATAACCCGGTTCTTTACCATTTTGCTTTTAGCTTAAATAAGAACGGTACACATTTTAAAACACTATGAAAACTACCTTTGACTGTCTGTGGGGAATTTCCCTTTAAGGCTTTTTCAGCCCATGTGATTTACTTAATTATCGATGACAAAATTTCCATGGATATACAATATCCTGTTGCTTTACAATTTTGCTTTTAGCTTTAACAAAATTCTCTTATTGATTTTCAGGGACTATTTCCCTTTAGGGCTTTGTCAGCCCGTGTGATTCATTTAATTATTGATGACAAAATTGTCATGACTATCAGGGATACCTGCTTAAAATGAAAGACTGTTGGCCCCTCATTTACTTAAGACTCAGTCGAGAGAAACATGAAAACCGTAGGTGGATATTCTGTCGATTTACCTTGATTCTATTTCGAGTTCTACAAAATAATTGTCTACTCTTCTAAGATATTGCAACTCACTGGCTTGTGTGGTTGTTTGCATTGCGTGTGAGACAACTTAGTTCTGAGAGCCTAAAGGCACGCTTCTTTGTCATTACAACGTTCACACGTACGCATCTGTTTGACGACTGTTTGCACGCGGCTGACCAAAAGTACGGACCTTATGCAAACCACGACGGCGACGGCAGCGAGGACGTGGCAAAACAAAACATCTATAATTGGCAGAACGATAGCTCAGCATGTGCGCTTTAAAACTTTGTATATTTCTTAGCCGTCCTTTGCAAAACAACAACGTGAAATCACCAAAATTTGCGTCGTTTTCGAACGGAAACCGCGACGGCAAGTTATTTTAATTTCCGACGAAATTCGCTCCGACGTAGAGCTAACGCTCGAAACGTCAGCTTTTGTAATCATTACGGTGGCCAATTTACCATTTCAACTTTGTTGATATATCCAAATTATTTTAATTTCCATTCGAAACTCAACGCTTCTTTGTATGTTATGCTGAAGTTGAGGTGTGGCGCCGGGCGGTAAACACATGCAGACAATTTTGAAATTCTAATTAAAGGCATTAATTCATTTTTTAATCGAAGTCTTTCTTGGCGCTGCCGTCCTGACTGCTTAAGGTTCCTATCAATCCGTCTGCGCATGCCCGATGACTAGCCGCTTTTGTTTTAGAGGATGGACTTAATTTATGGTTGTGAGAAGGCCTGCATTACTACGAAGGATAACATCACAGACACCAAAGTAAAACAGCTGGGAAATGGAATGCGAGTTAAAGAGCAGGCTACGTATCCTAGTTATTTTTTCCAACATGACGAGAGGAATGGCTAAAAATTTAAGACTCATTTAGAAATATTGGTGTTATATTCTCTTAAAATCACAAGACTAAATCCCTAAAGTACAAATAAGTAGTAAGTTTGACAAACATTACACTTTGCCTTAGCAAGAAATAGTTCACTTTCAAAAACATTTACTTAGGAAGCTACTTAAATCATGCTTTAAGGCAGCTGCTATTATTGCTGAAATAATGATTGAAATCTCTTCAGTTCCTAAATTTTGATCGGATTTGAGGCTGTTGTAACAATCTATGGTCATAAGCTATGGAAGTTCAGTTCGCGGAATATACGAGGCTTTCTACGCACTCCCTGTGGCAAATTATGTAATTTGTAGTAATCCTAATTAGCATAAATTGATATTTTGCCGGCGCGTATCGGAGGACTGGGGGTGGCTGCGAGGTACGCAGAGTGTTATGGAATCGTGGTTGTAAGCAGAAGTCGTTAGTAGAGCAAGGCATTCGACGATCAGCCTTCACCGGGCGTAGCTGTTCGTTTTCGTTTTCGTCTTTTGTATAAATTTAGAGCGGTAATTGCATAGTACTATAATGAATTGGACCCAGTCAATATTGAAAATTTTGAAAATGTGAGTAGAAGTTAAGTAATTATGTAAATGAGTCATTTATATGATACCCTAAAACCCCAAGGGTGGCACCACTGCCTTGGTCGGGGGTACACGTTCCTCGTTTTTTTCTTCCTGCTGGTTTTTAGGGGTTATCGTATCCGGCCTTGGTGCATTTAGTTTACTTCAATTAAAATAGACTTCTATTAGCATATATCGATTTGGCGTTAAATAAACGGTGGCTTGGCTGGCCAACCCGCCCAGAAATCAATTCTTTGTGTCCAGTTGAGCAGTGAAGGCAAAATTTGAGATATTTACTATGGTGTTTGAACGTTAAGGTTTCTTTATATTAAAATACTTAAGGCTAACTCATGTCCAATACGCTCTCATGGAGTACTTACCATAGACAACTTGGAAAATGCCGTGGCAACTAATTAATTGATAATTAACTGATGGATTATTAGTGTATTACAACCCCTAAATTTATTTGATGAATAGGGATGGTGCGTAGTGAGAGCGCTCGCCGCGTACCACTGTGGCTCGCTTCGATATACACCGGTTTATTGTTAGTTCTCGTTGTGCTTCGAGGGTTTTCCTCCGGGTCTTCAAGTTTTCCTCCGGGTCTTCATGTTTTCCTCCGGGTCTTCAAGTTTTCCTCCGGGTCTTCATGTTTTTCACTTAGGCGGTGGAAAACGCCAGTGAAAAGACGTGATTGATTTTAGTTTTCTACCCGATTGGTCGAGAAAGACCGCAAAAATTTTGTGGACCAATCATAAAGCGTTATCCATTAAAATCCTTGCTATCCCAGACTACTTTTAGACACTTGGTTGAAAGTTTCTTTTACGTGAGAAAATTTATCGGTCATTGATCATCAATGACCGATTTTTTTAGTGGTCAATGCCATCTATATGTTATTTAACTTGTTTGTTTTACAGTTCACTTAGCTCGCGTTATTGAACATCTTGGGAAAGTTTCACGGCACATAGCTCTTTCCGGAAAATATTCCAGAGATTTCTTCAACAAGAAAGGCAGGTTTTACCCTGAGCCTGTCCAATCCAATCATTTCCTCTGTCTTTTAAGTGCAACAGCATCGAACACGCTATCAAACAGCATACAGATGGAGTTCATGCAAAGGACGGAGAACACGGTAACTCGGCGACTGTTGAATTGTCAGGATTTTGGATCACTGTTGAATTTGTCAGGATTTTGGATCCCTGTTGAATTTGTCAGGATTTTGAATCACTCGGAAGCAGAGCATGTCTGAGTGGTCGTCCTACAGCTGTCTAAATCGCTGCACATTTCTCTAACTTCCAAATTGCATTCTGCTTAAGAAGTAAATCATTAGGATAAATTCGCTTTGACACTTTTTTGAGATATTTGTACAATTTTTCAATGCTTCTGTGTTCTACAAACAGGGAAGTAGGGTTTTCGACATGAGCGCCGTAGCAGCTTGGCGAATTTCGCGGCCGACATTTTCTCATGTTTTCTCCTTCCACTTGTCAATTATCGAGCGATCACTCGTTCGCCTTAACACAGATGATCACACCTTGGGTCAGTGCCCTGTTCCTGTGCCTTCCCGCCTAAACGGTTTCCTCCTTGTTAAAATGTCATTAAAGATACTGAACATGGTACTGTACGACTCTGACTTCTGACCTTTGCTTGACTTTCGTTACCTTTCCAACTCGCGGCAGAAATACCTTAGATCCGGTGTTAACAAATGTGAAGGAGTTCTATGCCCCTCCGATCCAGCGCCCTGCTCTCGGTTTGTCCGATCATTTTTCTGTAGAAGTTCAGCCGCTCGTGCGTTCCCAACAACTAAGAACTAAACTTATCGTGAAATCGAGGGACTTACGGCCTACAACGCGTATGGCTATGCGCACGTATCTTGGAAATGTGGACGTTAAGACACTTATCGATAGTAAAGATTCTTGCAAGGGCAAAGTGGAAATGCTGGAGACCATAGTTAAGACCGGAATGGACATTCTCCTCCCCCTGAAGTCTAAGTCGGTACAAACCAACGAGCCGCCCTGGGTCAATCAACAATTGAAGGGTCTCATTCACAGCCGCCAAAAGGCCCTCGCTCAAGGCGACCAGGAGCAGTACCGCACCCTACGAAACCGCGTTAATCGTGAGAGGAAAGCATGCCGTGCAAAGTTCTATAACTCCAAGGTTGAACATCTGAAGGACTGTAAACCCGCAGTTTGGTGGCGTGAGGTAAAGAAGCTCAGTGGTATGTCAGACGCAGCTTCTAGAGGCGTTAATCCAGCTACCCTCTACCAACATATTGATTGTGGTCAGAGAGGTTCGCCTCCAAGCACGATAGACATTGCTAACACCATCAACCAGGCGTTCTTGGCTCCTATGCGCGTCTTCACCCCCCTTTCACCTAACACCTCAACCAACTCTGACCAGGAGAGTGCTTTCCAGGTATCAGAATTCTCTGTTTTAAAGAAGCTATCCGCCTTAAATCCAACTAAGGCAACCGGTCCGGACGGAATCCCCGGTTGGCTTCTTAAAGAGAATGCAGATTTACTAGCACTACCTGTGACTGATATCCTTAACTGTTCGTTTAAGGAAGCACGGTTGCCTCAGTCTTGGAAGGACGCTAACATCACTCCAGTACCAAAGCAGAATCCAATACACGATGTAAACAAACATCTACGTCCAATATCCCTAACTCCCGTGCTTTCTAAGGTTGCTGAAGATTTCGTCGTGGAGAGTTTCCTCAAGCCTGTTGTGTTGGCGAAAGTGGATGTACGGCAGTTTGGGACTGTGCCAGGTTCCAGTACGACACAAGCACTAATAAGCATGGTCCACTCATGGCTTAGTGCTACGGATGGGAACGGTGCAACTGTCAGAACCATCCTCTTTGACTTTAGGCCAGAACATTTTTTGAATTGATCAAGTAACTTAAAAAAGGTATTGAGCAGATCTGATCTCCGACACAAAAGCTGATAAATCATCTGCATATTGCACCATTTTGAATTCTTTTGAATCTATTTTGATTCCATTTATTTCCAAACATGAGCGAATAGCGACTGCTGATAGTTCAGCAGCAATAATAAACAAGTAAGGGAAAAGGGGTCTCCCTGCCTTACACCTCCATTTATTTTAAAACTAGCTGAGCCGGAGTGTTCCATTGTTGCTAGTACAACTTGTTTTGTCACTGTAAAAGGTTTCTACCCATCTTGTTGGACAGGGTCCAAATCTAAAGACTTTTAAGCATTTGAACATACAATTCCTAGAGGAAAATTAAAATCGTCAGTTATAATAATGTGTTCTTCATAACAAAATTCGTCGTTTCTTAATAATTTTGACAAGTTACGATAAATTTTTAACAGCATTGGTGTTTTTGTTTGAGCTATCTATGTTTGCAATTGTGTATATCTCATTGTTAAGAGCAGCTTTTAGAACAATAAACCTGCCATTCGAACTTATTTCACTCCGTTAAATAGTAAAGTTCAAACTATTCCTTATGAGAAATTCAACACTTCAAACGTTTGTACTCCCGTGTGAAAATAAAACAGAAGCGCCCCACTCTTTTCGCCACTGATCCTGTCGTTCTGCTATGGAATTAGTTTCCTGTAAAAATATCAAATCGGCTTTTCGCTTCTTATATCAGGAGAAAAATTGATTTCCCTACCGGCTTGCGAAAGTCTCTTAGGCCTCTAACATTGAAGGAAAGCAATTGGACGCTTTCAGGCTTAGCTTTCGAATTATGCATTCTTAATGCAAAAATGATGAAACGTTGTCACATTAATAGGTTCTATTTCCACGGAATATGAAAAGAATAGCAAAAGAAACGCAAAAGTAATAAGAGAATAATTTAAGTTTTGAGCAAGAAGACAACACAGACACTAAACAACAGAAAATATTTAAGGTTACCGTGCACCTTCAGGGGTGTCTCGCGTGCAAGCGATTTTTTTAATCCTATTTCGAAAATCTTCTGTAACTTTTCACTGAAATTGAATATGGCAAATCAGGCGTAGGCTTAATTCCAACTCGTTTATTGTGTGTCTAATGTGTAATCGCCTCTTTATATATATATATAGGTAATATGAGAATCAGTAATTTAATCAATCAACTATCACTGTACAAACAAAACGAAATATCTGGTTTCACAGGTAAAGAAATTGTTCTCGCGTGGGGGCGTCTCCATGTTTTCGACAATCGCACACACGTTTTTTTAGCGCTTTGGCCCCGAAAATGGAGGAACACATTAAATAAGCGAAAAACAAAACTCCCTTTGACATGTAACGTTTAAAAGGTGATTCGGGCGCTCGCATTTAGAAGTCGTGAAAAATTGGACAATTAATTTTTTCTCAAAAATTTAGTATAGTCTGATAGCCAGTCCTATAAGCTTTAATTTGATATGGGGTTTACATATCTACGGTTTAAAGCGGACGCGCTACATCACTTGCACGCGGGAAACCCCTGAAGGTGCACGGTAACCTTAAACAAACGAAAGCGGACTTACCATCTTGGTTGCTACACACTTTCGCCGAGATCTCCGTGGCAAATGTCTGTATTATACTATGCTATTGAAAGTGACGAGCAGTTTTCCTTGCGAGGAATTGTAAACGAAACTATAAATCACACAGTTTATTTAACTAAAATTACGCAGTTCATAATGATCACAAAATAGCAACATAAGGACAACTCATATGTCTGATTTTAAAGGACTTGAGACCTTCAGAATCGGTTTCCTTATATAGTATCTGCGCGGGAACTTGACAATGGGATGAATGCCAACTGGACTCCTCTTCCTTTAGGTTGCTTTAAATGGTCTTTTCGTAGTTTGGCTCTATCACTTGGAACTGATTTTGACGCGTCATCGGATATGTACATTTGACTTCAGCAGGATGGCGTTCAACTTCGACTCTCGTTTGTCTTTAGCGGCGAGCAAGTGGTCCATCTTTGCAAGTACTACGTCCGGGCCAACTTCGCTTCAGTAGCTGACATTTTGCCGGTTCGCTGCTTTGCGTTTGATCTTGTCAATCTAGCAGGTATTCGCTTGTTACTATACTCAAAAGGTTATCTCGTGGTCATAGAAAAACTATTAAGCATCATTTTCTTAATAGTTTCTTAGAGAGAGCTCGGGATGGCTTCCGCTTAGCTTGGCGTCATCACGTGACTCCTGATAAATCTTTGTTAATCTTATTTCATACAAAATTTTCAGGAAATCGGAAAAAATACCACCTCAGCTTATTAGGCATATGGCGTCTTGTCCATGGTATTTTTTGAATATGATATTTGTTCCAGTCGCTTTCTCTGCTGCCAGCGTTTCCAAAAGAGATGCCTACCGTCTCGCTGTTCCAGATAGGATTGAAATGTTCTATGAGCATCCCCTCGATACATGGAGCGTAGTGTTTATTGTCCACTGTCATGAATCGAACGATAAAATCGCGCACCTTTAAGTCTTTCGCTCTATTTATTTTGCCTAGGTGATCCTTCAGGCGCACGGAGATACTTGTTTTCGACATACCCACGTAAATCGGCTCGGCTATAGAAGGCTTGACCAGGCCCTCATAGAGTGGTTTTTTACCAACGTAATATATGGAATATACTCCAGGTAGTTTAGGATACCAGTTAGTACTACTACCCAATGGATAAATATATGACGTTTCCATGAAGTCAACGGAAATCCGTTGCAATACAGAATTGTCTTCATCATCAACTGAAGGACTTGGCGATTCAGTCCCAGTCTCAAATTTGTTACACCGCCTCAAGTTATCTTCCACTCTCAATTCGTGCTTCTTTAATCTTCTTCTTAGCAGGATTTCACAACGGTTTAAGCATTGTGGAATGCTGTTATTGGGAAAATTCATGACGTCAGTGCAGAGAATTCTGCTCAAATACCTGTTGCATGACATTGCTTGCCATGTCGATAATTCACTATCCCCTAGCAAGGAGACATAAACAGTTTGTATCAGTTTATGAGTTTTATGATCGGGAGAGTTCCACAGCTTTGATAAACGATACAAAACTTCACGTACTTGGTCTTGAATAGTTTGCTTCTCTATATCCTTTAGGGAATGATATAAAGAGACGAATAACCGGAATATTATTTAAATTTTGTCGGCTTCCATAAATAGTAAGCTTAGTTTTATCAGGATTCAAGAGAAGACGATTTGCGAAGCACCAGTTTCGAATCTGTAGAAGATCAGCGCTAAGATCAGCAACAGCCTTAGCCCAGTCTTGGACTGGGAAAGAAACGTAAAGTTTTGTGTCATCGACGTAACTTTCAGTAAGAAAGGACCGGGGGGTGAGGGGTAAATCGTTTACATAAATATTAAACAAAATGGGTCCAAGAACGCTTCCTTGTGGCACGCCTGATACAATGGGTAGAGGATCAGACAACGCAGAATTTATGCGCACTTCTTGTCGTCTGTCAGAGAGATAGCTGGTGAACCAGGCAACACTGGATAACGAGATTCCAATATCCAGCAGTTTGTTGAGCAAGATTCCATGATTTATCGTGTCGAAAGCCTTGCTCATATCAAGTAAGACAACAGCGGTAATTTTCTTGTCGTCAATCGCACTTAAGATAGCATCTGTTGTTCGTATTAAGGAGGTTTCCGTAGAGTGCAGTTTCTTATTACCACTTTGCCGAGTAGATAACCTTTCGTTTGACACTAGGAACGACATAATTTGATTAAGCGCAGCCCTTTCGCATACTTTCGAAACAATGGGCAGCAGAGAGATAGGCCTATTACTATCAGGTTCTTCGTGACTACCTTCTTTCGGAATAGGCGACACGACAGCTAATTTCCAAGATCGAGGATATTTTCCATCAGAGAAAGAGGCGTTAATTAACGATATAATCACCGAGAGAATAACAGGAAGGCTATCTTTGATTACACGCACCGGAATGTTGTCTATCCCAGAGGACTTATTAGCTGGCATTGACCCGAAAATCTGAGCGACTTCGTCACATTCTACGTTCAAATTGAATTGATCAGTCACTGGAGAAATTCCTGTATCAAACACCGGTGCAGAAAGGTCGAAATTGCATTTGTTAACAAGGAAATTAATCTTGTCATCAGACCATGTTGAGCACAACCGCCGCGAGTTCTTATGTGATAAGCTTTTTAATTCCATCCTGTCTAATCCCTCGCACAAGCTCTATAGCTTACTACCTCCCAAGAATGAGTGCGAAGTCAATTTAAGGAGTCAGCACTCTTTTACTACACGGCGCCTCCACACCATTCGTACTCGAAATAGTTTTATCCATCACTATGTCCATAAAGCAATGATGTAATATTGTTTTTCTCTTAATTATATATTTTTGTCTTTTTAATTAGTTCTTCTTAGCCATGTATTTTTTGTAGTATATATTTTATTGTAAATCAAACGTAATTCAGCCTGTGGCTGCAAGGTTTTTGATAATAAACTATCTATCTATCTATCTATCTTTTCTGAAATATAAGCACATACTTTCTAAGGTTGTTTTGGTGTTTTAAGTGGTGTGTCAAAACTTTTTATAATTATTTTCTTTGTTGCTAACAGGAGAACTTAAACACATTTCCAAGTTACGTTCTTGGTAAGTATTGTTTCTTGCTCATCATTCCAGAGAATTGTACACTTCTGCAAGGTAAACCCACTCGCTTTGATGAAGGTTGACGCTCGAAAAGTCCGCTTTTGAAACTCTTAAAGGTTGCCAATTCATATTTTCCACTCAGTCAACAATAAAAACTATTTACCAAAGTGGTCATCGACACTGGTTGTTGTAGTAAATATCAAAACAAGGAGATAATATAGCACAGAAAGATGGTTATTACACACTTACTCCGGCGACGATTCCAATGTGTTCAACCTCAACACAGATCAACAGGCTACAGCCGCGCAGTGCTTTGAACATCCTTGGCTGAAAGAAGTTTAGGAGAAACCAGAAGAGTAGAAAAACCTCTGTTCGATAAATTTAGCGTTCATTACCCCTTCAAGCCATCTTGTACAGCTTAAGACGACCAAAAGTTTTTTGATATCTTCAGGGTGTCCTGTTGTTTTCCTTTGAATTCCTTTCTTCCAAAGATGGATTAGTTTTTGGTTGTGCACTGCGAAATTAAAACAACGTTGCTTCGTGGCGGAGACGCAACGAGAAAGGATTAAATTAAGGTTATATTTTCGTGTTGAACTTTACAGTTCGCTTCTGATAAAAGATATTGCTGCAAAAAAATTACTGTAAATATTTTGAAGTAAGACCGCACAACTTGGCGAAAAGACTAGACATTCTTTTGTGTGGTTTGTGCGTTTTGAAACACCTAAAGTGAATCTTCAGTGGGTGGTTTGCAATCCTTGTCAATCTTGTCCATCCCTAACGTTCGTCACTCTTTTCTGAGATATTCTTTCCATAGAAGAGTTTTTCCATATAACTTAACTGATGTTTTGTAGCTATACAATGCAATACAAACTTTATTGACACTCCCTTACGAGGGTTTTTCTGTGACAAGGATCAAAAAATTACAAAATTACAGTACTACAACGTATAATAGAAGAATTAAGTAAGCTAAAATGTTAATAAATGTTCGCAAAAATTACAACTAAGAGCGATGAGAAAGGAAAGCAGCAAGTAATTTGGTTCTAAGTTTCAGCTTAAAATTACGAGAAGAATTACAGAGTTTGAGGGTATTATCTAAACTGTTCCATAGACTTACTGTACGATAAAAGAAGGTCCTTTGTCCGATTTAGTTCTATATAGGGGTATATACAGAAGTTGGGAGCTGCTGGTCGTGCGATCACTTATCTCACCACGTGTTAGAAACTTCGAGGAGTTAAGTAGGAGTGGAGCCGGTCATACATTTCAAAGCAAGTACGGCGTGACGGAGATATAGGTGAGATTTAATAGGTAGCCAATGCAGTTCTCTTAGAAGCGGAGTCGCGTGGTCAAATTTTCTGAGACCACAGATGATGTGGGTTGCAAAATTCTGGACCGCTTGTAGCTTGAGAAGGTTAGTGTCCGCTGCATTGCACCAGACGGAGAAACAATAAAATAACTTAGTAAACACTAAAGTGTTAATTATTATCAATAAGGTCGATCTGTCAAACACGTGCTTAACACGATTAATTTGAGCTAAACTTGACAAGCAAGAGGAGACTGTTTTAACAATATGCTCGTGAAAAGTTAGGCTCGAGTCAAAAGTCACGCCTAGGTCTTTAACGACGTGCACCGGTATTAGTTCCTTTCCTAAGAGGGAGAGACGAATAACCGGGATATTATTTAGATTTTGTCGACTTCCACAAATAGTAACCTTAGTTTTATCAGGATTCAAGAAAAGACGATTTGCGAAGCACCGGTTTCGAATCTGTAGAAGATCAGCGCTAAGATCTGCAACAGCCTTAGCCCAGTCTTGGACTGGGAAAGAAATGTAAATTTTTGTGTCATCGACGTAACTTTCAGTAATAAAGGACCGGGGGGCGAGGGGTAAATCGTTTACATAAATATTAAACAAAATGGGTCCGAGAACGCTTCCTTGTGGCACGCCTGATACAATGGGTAGAGGATCAGACAACGCAGAATTTATGCGCACTACTTTTCGTCTGTCAGAGAGATAGCTGGTGAACCAGGCAACACTGGATAACGAGATTCCAATATCCAGCAGTTTTTTTGAGCAAGATTCCATGATTTATCGTGTCGAAAACCTTGCTCATATCAAGTAAGACAACTGCGGTAATTTTCTTCTCGTCAATCGCGCTTAAGATATCATCTGTTGTTCGTATTAAGGAGGTTTCCGTAGAGTGCAGTTTCTTATTACCACTTTGCCGAGTAGATAACCTTTCGTTTGACACTAGGAACGGCATAATTTGATTAAGCGCAGCCCTTTCGCATACTTTCGAAACAATGGGCAGCAGAGAGATAGGCCTATTATTGTCAGGTTCTTCGCGATTACATTCTTTCGGAATAGGCGACACGACAGCTAATTTCCAAGATCGAGGATATTTTCCACGAGAGAAAGAGGCGTTAATTAGCGATGTAATCACCGAGAGAATAGCAGGGAGGCTATCCTTGATTACACGTACCGGAATGTTGTCTATCCCAGAGGACTTATTAGCTGGAATTGACCCGACAATCTGAGCAACTTCGTCACATACTACGAGCTTAAACACGAAGGCGCGCTATAAAAGGAGCCTTAGGCCCCATTGGACCATTTGTCAATCAACCGTCGTGGGATGTAGAACTCTCAGAGTCAAGTCAGCTTGAGCTACAGCTACTCCAAACCAGTGAACAGCGGGCGCATTCCTCAAAATTGTTTTATGTCCTCATCACAATACAAGAGTTTTTTAGATTTGTATTTCCTTTCTCAAATGGAAACTGTCTTTATTTGTGGCGGTAAATTTGAGGTCGAAGTAGGTGGTTCTCACGTTACCTCATGCCACTTTGCTGGTGGAAGTAAACAATAGATATCTCATTAGCTCCTTTTGTTCGTCTACCAGAATTTAAATTTGACCCGCACACGTCAACGGTGAGTGACAAATGAG